AGGTATGAAGTAAAACTCGCTAGCTTCACAAATTTGAAGATTTTGTACAATTTCTTTGAAAATGATGAAATATATGTCTGATTTGGCAGGGTAATGTCGCAGCCAAATGGCAGTCACTCTCTCTGACACAGTCCGGATCAAAATATGACGATACTCGTGAAATGTATTGATACTTCTAAATATAGGATCGTATTGAACATCCCTACCGTCAAGATGTATAATCCGAGGTAGCGACGGAGCTATTTTATGGCGTCATTTGCATTTTTTTAAGTGTTGTGCAATGATTTTGGGAAAAATGTCACGAATAATCTTATAAAGAATAGTCGAGTATATTTCAACAGTTGGCAGAACTTACTCCACTGGGACCAGGAGGGTCAAACGGGATATTAATACACAATCTGGCAACCCTGTCGCACGCTCACAAAATGGCCGCTGCAAAACCACACAAGTCACCGTGTTGTCATTGAATGGCATGGAATTAAACCTTCAGAGTATATGTTTTGTGACTGGTACCAAGAGTTGACAGATCCCATACATGTGTCACTCCTTGAAATGCAATAATCAGCTGAATTCAAATAATGTTCGTTTTAGGTTTTCTGGTAGCTTTAAGGCATATATTTGGGAATTTCTTAATCGCTGTGAATATAGTGTGGATGTTTGTTCAGTTCCTGAACAACGAAAAATGTTCAACTTTATGGATGTATGGATATCAAAAAACCTGAACGGTTTTGTGAGAATATCAATCTAAGGTGCCATAATGGTTCTGATGAACGGCAAGTAAATGAATGAATGCTTGGAAACGAGCAATATCTTTTGGTAGAGCCTGTCATCAAGTAGGTGCTTAATGGCTATCTGCAAGAGGTTTATAGAAAAACACATCCAGTGTCGCATATCAATTGAAGAAAATAATATAAACATGAATAAAAAATCAACAATAGTAATTAAAACATGAATTTTATTCAAAAATTCAACATTTCTTTAAATTTTGACTGAATTATATGTATTTTCTTAATATTCAATAAGCTGGTGATGTTTCAATGACAAGCTGTCATCTCATAATTTGACAGTACCTATTTTGTTTTCAACATTTCATAGCTATTGGTTGCTAAAGTTTGTTGATTGGAACTTGAAGCTCATTCGTTGTATTTGACGGTCTCTTACCCTATAGGTGGAGAATAACGGACTGTTGTTGGTGAAATTGGCCCTTAAAGTTGTAAACTATAAAACCATTTAGACAAAAATATATTAACTTTTGGACCATGGGTCATATGAACTTTTTGACTTGTTTTGACCCCCCTTATTACCCATTTCAATAATGACTACCATATCGTTTACACCCTGTATATTTTGTATCTTGTATCTGTATCTCAGATACTTCTATGTTGAATAAGTCAAATTTCTGCCAGGGACATACTAGCATGAACGCAATATTGCAATTTCTCCTAAGTTTCCTCCAATTCATTTGGTTCAATGCATTGTATTCATTAATATCCTAAGCTACAGTATAAATAATAAAAAAATTCCTAACCTGAGCTGACTTCTGAACTAGCCTTTTCTTGGTATTCAATTTTCTCGTCTTTACCTTAATTTTAATTTTGTCATCACTTTCTTCGCTGTCGCTAGAATATGATCGTGGTGTGGGGCAGTAATCCTTATCTTGGTCGTTGTCATCGACTGCGCTTTATGCGATTAAATTTCAAATCTTCAATTTCCCGTGGCAAATCGTTAAAAGAGTAAAAAGCTTTCAACCTTTCTGGGTATGTTTATTTTTCATTTTCACCCTCATAGTTGTACAAAAAATTAAGGTGTTTCAAAATTTACTTTTGGAAAAAGTGGAAGTTCGTCGATATTCTAAAAAAAATAAACAATTACTGACGATGAAATTATAATATGTTTTAGAAATGTTTTTAGTTACCTTCTTTAACCTCGAGTGTACCGAAGAAACTAAATTCTTCGTTCGTGTACTACATGCCAGCATCGTCTCACGGGGCAGCATCCTCTCGCTATGATTCAACAACGCGGTATGTCTATAGTTACAGGGTAGATGGTGAGGATTCATTGCTGGATAAATTGGGAGACGATTTCTCAAATCAAAACACAGTAACTACAAAAACCGTAGCAAAACCCAGTACTACTTAGTCACATGGTTTTGATATAGGTTGTATTAGTTACAGTGTTTTGCAGTGGGAGAAGCTTCGATCAACTGTTGGTTACTGTGTTTTGCGCATACCGTATTTGCCTTATTCATGGATAGATTTTGGTTTTAACAATACTAGAAGGTAGTGTTCTGTAATGGGACAGCCGAAATTAAAACCTTAGAAGCATATTTTCTCACATTTCTGCGATCAACGCGTAAATAATTTTTGTAATAAAACAAATTTAATAAAATGCTGTTTTTTACAAAATTATTTTACCTTTAAAGGTATTTGATAGATACATACTGATTTTGTATCTAGTATTTCAGATACCATTCCAGAAAGTGACTGGTATTTTGTATTCCAGATTCTTCGTATCGGGTATCTCTGGTGATTCAAATGAGACAACTGTTGTATCTCTTAAGAACTTTTTTTATATAAATTTATTTATATCAGTTTTAGTGTTCTCTACGAGACATTGACATGTTATTCTGGGCCACTGTGCGTCGGAAGTACTGAGTCAGTCTGAGTCGGTCGTCGTTTTTTGTAAGTGTATAGAATGTAGAGGATTATATTTTCCTTAGTTATATAGAGATTAATGTCCCATTCCCGTAGGCCCGACATTTATCTAGTTTTGCCTCCATTCCGCCGACGCTAACCCACCTTAAACGTTTGAAATCTACCGCTGTCACCACTGTCTTTCCCCAGATGAAGGCATTAACAAGTTACGGAAACGTGCAAACTGGAACGTGATATTGCTTCAGTGGCGTCGCATCTCGTTCAAGGCAGTTCGAAAAGAATCGAAAATATGTATACTATACCAAGAAAGCATATTCCAGGAATAAATATCAATATCTTCGCGTAACAAACGGTCTGTGCGACCGAATACACTAAAACTCGCTAAACTACGAGCTGCCAGAATACGTTCGCTCAACCCTGGCTAGGCGCGATTGAAACACTCCCCATTCTGATAAGCGTGAGCTGAGCGGATGTATTCTGGCAGCACGTAGCTGAGCGAATTTGAGTGCATTCGATGGCACAGATCATCTGTTACGCGGAGGTGACGATATATGGCGTAATTTATCGAACTAACCATCATTTACAAGCTGTAAAGAAGCTCTCATGAACCTTGAGCTAGCTTAATCTAGTAATTAAGGAAAGCTTCTGGTCGGTTGGTGGCTATCCAGTTATTGATACCCTTGGATGGGCTGAGTTGCAATAAGATTCTGTAGCCTTGTCTTTCCCGTTGGCCTGACGCGAGGCTCAACCTTTTGCGGTCAGGTTTGCCTTTTCATTTTCAAATCGTTCATTTTATAAATATACTGCATAAGTACTAGTCAATATAAGATGAATCTTCAAATTGGATACAGTATGTTACAAACGAGTATTACACTGGCTTGACGATTCCTGTCGAATGGAAAGATCCGATCTGTAACTTGGTCCTCTATCAACTGATTTGTCAAACCATATACAAAACCTATAAAATCTATCAAACGTCAAAAAACCCTATAAAATGTCATCTTGCAGACTATGTAGTTTTTAGGGTGCAAACATCGTCATTCCAAGTTTGCTCACTAGGATCGTTGTACGTGTCTATCTATGGAGGAATGACTCACCTCCACGCATTGTTGGTTGCATATGTTTTGTAAAGCCGAGTAGTCTGTAGTTTTCATCTCTGAGAAGCAAGTTGGTTTAATAGCAAGATCGCATCTGGATGATTATGTGTATTGGTCTGTAGGGGAGACCCCGGATGGTTGACTATAGGGGTAGGTAGACTAACCGCCAAAAACTCGTCAAAGATATCAGTATTACGTCATCCCGGCCCAGCCGCACATTACTCTCCGATCACCACTCAGTCGTCCGGAGCGCCACAACGCTGATGCACGTCGTTTTCGAGCAGTGACACGTGATTTGTTTTCGCATCATATAAGTAATATGTTCATATTGCATATTTTTCCATCTGACACTTACAAATTTTATATTAACCATTTGCATATTAGACAGAGTGATTCGTGAGTGCATATTGATAATATTTCAAGTATTATTTGTTAAGTTGATGGTAGTGTTTAGGTAACCCATGCCATTGAAACTTAAAATGGCGTCTGGGGCTGGTAGACTAACTTCTTTTGCGGCTGGTTGAATAGTTAGTCAACCAACCCCAATATAATTTGAAGTTTAAAATATCTTGTAAATAAACCTTTTATTCGTGTTTTAATATCAATTTTGTTACAGTACAATAAGGACCTATGAAAGAAGTACTGAACGAGCTGATACACCAAAAGATGTCCTAGAAAGAGCTTGTTATATAATAATTTCTGACACAAAAAGTATTAATGCAACTTCAAAATAATATGACATTCCCTATGAGACATTACATTGTTATATGGCAAAACTAGAGGAGAAATTGGAACGTAATCCGAACTTGACGAGAGCAGAGTTAAATTTCAACTCAGTGAGATATATTAAAAATAAGCAAGTTTTCACTGATGAAGGAGGAGAAGCTTTAGCAAGTTATTTAAAGAAAGCTGTTGATATTTATTATGGTTTGACACCATATGAGACCCGAAAATTAGCATGTCAGTTCGCCATAAAAAGTAACTAAGCTATGACTGATTCTTAGAGAACAACATTGTTAGCTGGCGAACATTGGTTAGGCTCGTTCCATAAGGACATCTCAAGCAACAAGCCTTTCAAGAGCTACATCATTCAACAAACATAACGTCAGTATGTTCTTCGCTAACTGCTGCTCACCAACGTTTGAGTTTAAGCCCTGGTGGTATCTGGAACGTTGATGAAACAGATATGACAACCGTACAAGTACATAATAGAGTAATATCACGACGTGGTGTTAAAAGTCTAGGCAAGATGGCATCTGCTGAGAGGGTTACACTGGTGACAGTTGCAGTAGCTGTTTCAGCTGTATTAAATATAGCTCCTCCACCATTTTTTGTATTCCCTCGCGTCCATTGTAAGTCCCATTTTGTTAGGGGTGGCCCTATAGGATGTGATGGTGATACTAATCCGGCAGGCTGGATGAAAGAAGAGAACTTTATGAAGTACGCCAAGCATTTCGTGAAACATGTTAAACCTAGTAAAGAAAAACCTGTACTTTTGTTGTTGGATAACCATGACTCTCACTTATCAATTGAAGCTTGAGATTACTTTCAAACCAATGAGGTGGCAGTTTTATCATTCCCTCCACATTGTAGCCACAAGCTACAACTCTTGACAGATCTGTGTACGGACCATTTTAAAAGTATTTCAACCGAGCATGTGACAACTGGCTGGCTAGCAACCCGAGAAAGACTATCACAATTTATGAAATACCGGAGCTGGTTAAAACGTCACTACCATTGGCTGCTACAATTGAAAATATTCAATCAGGATTCGGAGTATCCGGGATTTCACCATTGAATGAAAACATTTTTCCTGACTCCGAGTTTAGTGATTCTTATGTGACAGATAGGCCGATGCTCACTTCCCCTGACGGTGATAATCATTCAGCATGTAATGTGAGCACAGTCTCCGTTCCATCGACTTCCGATGCATCTAACAGGTTGTCTGACGTCGAGGAGGTTCCAATTCCTGATTACCATACAATAACTGAAACACTCTCTGGCACTGCAATGTTTATCTGTAAATACAGACCAGATTACTACCACAACACCCTCTCCTACAAGATCTTTGAGGACTGAATGTGATTCACCTTCTCTTTTTGATGAAATATTCAATTTTGTATTATGAACCGGAACTGAGAGAAAACCTCAAAACACCAGAAAACGTTCATTCTACAGAAGCAAATGTGCCCCCATCTTTACACAATCTAAACCTTTCCTCAACTTCATCAGCAACATTTGAAGGGCTAAGACCCTTTCCGAAAGCGGCGCCACTTTTAGAAAATAGAAGAAATATTCGGAAACATAAAAGTACTATATATACCGACACCCCGGAAAAAGTAAATCTTTTTGATATGAAAAACAAAAGAGAAACATAAGAAAAAAACAGATACAAAGGACAGAATCGAAAAAGGAAAAGGGAAGGGCAAAGGAAAAGGTAAAGGAAAAGGTAAAGGAAAAGGTAAAGGAAAAGGTAAAGGAAAAGGTAAAGGAAAAGGTAAAGGAAAAGGTAAAGGAAAAGGTAAAGGAAAAGGTAAAGGAAGGTAAAGGAAAAGGTAAAGGTAAAGGAAAAGGTAAAGGAAAAGGTAAAGGAAAAGGTAAAGGAAAAGGTAAAGGAAAAGGTAAAGGAAAAGGTAAAGGAAAAGGTAAAGGAAAAGGTAAAGGAAAAGGTAAAGGAAAAGGTAAAGGAAAAGGTAAAGGAAAAGGTAAAGGAAAAGGTAAAGGAAAAGGTAAAGGAAAAGGTAAAGGAAAAGGTAAAGGAAAAGGTAAAGGAAAAGGTAAAGGAAAAGGTAAAGGAAAGGTAAAGGAAAGGTAAAGGAAAAGGTAAAGGAAAAGGTAAAGGAAAAGGTAAGGAAAGGTAAAGGAAAAGGTAAAGGAAAAGGTAAAGGAAAAGGTAAAGGAAAAGGTAAAGGAAAAGGTAAAGGAAAAGGTAAAGGAAAAGGTAAAGGAAAAGGTAAAGGAAAAGGTAAGGAAAAGGTAAGGAAAAGTAACGGATAAAGTTGATGAGATTGCTGATGACACCGTCGATGAAAATGACGGTAATGCTATAGATTCAGATGACGAGAGTACGATTTGCTTAGAGTGCACTAAATCCTACGTCGATAGTGTTCCAGGCGAACAATGGATTCAGTGCATAGCTTTAATACACAACTTACAGCTTAGACCTCCCGTAATGTTATCCCTGAAGCAGATTTTACATCACATCAGAGCCAAACATTTATAACTGAAGCCTCAGGACGTTTAGGCAACACGTACAAGAAACGAGTTCACAAAGGGCCCATCAGTTAGTGCCAAGTTAACATCTTGTAGAAAAACCTACATAATGTCACAAAAACCCAATACACTGTCAAAAAAAGTCGACATAATGTTACTCAACATACATAATACCCATGCGAGATCACCATTGATTAAGCTATCCTCCCAGGTGACACTGAGTCGGTCCTGCCAGTTACACTCAACATACTACAGGAATCACCAATGGTATACCGAACTGCCCTGTTTTGAACAGCATCAAGTATGGACGTTGTAGACGGGGAATTCACCGGACCTAATAACATTATTCCAGGCGTAGTCTCACTTGAACTTTGTACAGACTGAATCATCCAGATGGTAAAAAGTAATTCCTTGTTTTAAGTAAGCCAACTTCTTTCTTGCTACTGCTTGTGCCAAATGATGCACACAGAAATTTTACCTCAAGGAATGACGAACATGTTGCCATATATATTGAAACCCGCAAAAGGTTTTTGTATGACCGCTCAGAATAAAAAGTTAGTGACAATGAAGTTTTTGGTAATCACTTTTTCGTATACAGGGTCTCCGAAAAGTACAACCGAATAAAGTAAGTTTTCTAAATGGATCATCCTGTATATTTTTGGTGAACGTGATAGTCGCATTCTTACTGATTCTCAATAATTACGGTCTGTTATACTTATTCTTATTACTTCAGTAAAAAAAACTTAAATTTTGTGACTTAATCATATGACCTTATACCAGAATAAGTAAGCGACTAGATGCAGATTGGTTTGAACTCTAATACACATAATTAAATGGCACACAAAATGTTAGTTTTGACCAAAGTAATGAAAACAAGTGAGATAAGTCATAAATATTAGGAATCAGAAACTAAGTGATTCTTATTAACACCCAAAATATATATGGTTATTGGGAAAGTTACAACTTTATTCGCTAACACTTTTTTGAGATCTATATACATTAGACATTATATGAACAACTTCATATTAGACACTATAACTCATGTATAAAACTTTTTCTAAACGATCATACACAAATGTAGTAGGATTCTTTGTACACTGAAGATATAAATCGATAGCAAAAGCTGTAGATAACATGTTGCTTGACTTCTAGGTTAACAGCTTCCACAACAAACATATTATTTTTAAAGAGAGAAAGCAAAATGGATTTCATTGTCGGAAATGTAAACATTACACATGAATGGGCTATTGTATTTTATTTCAACCAGCATGCGACAACTTGAACAATGCATACCAATTAAAACTTCACTAAGGGGGCAGTATTTTAGTATCTTGTTACGGTATCGTTTTCTGTTTTCAGATTTTGCTTCATGCTTGATGCTTAGAGCTTTGTTTTGTCTAATGATTCCAGGATATTAAAAAGGTTTTCAAGCAAAAGTACGTTTAACGCGCGATATGAAGCAGAACGGGATAGCATTTTGTAATTGACACCACTCTTTGTCCTAATACAGGCACCAGCGCGACAGGCAGACATAAAATGTAAGTTAAATTGCTGCCACCGAAATACTTGTTTTATTTTGGTTAACGGTACAAAAGGACTTTTGTGAAACCTTGTCACGACGATGCGTAAAACAGGACGGTTAGACAAGAAGTGGCAAGATTTCCTCACACATGGATTTAGTACAATGCAGTAGAAATATAATATGCTGATCCACAGGATGTTAACATGTGACCTTCAAGGCGCGAGATAAGATTCCATAGCGTAGCGACAATGCTTGCAAGAAATACAAGTACCCTGTAATAATTATAATATTATATAAAATACAGGGTGATGATGGATATAACTTGTATACCCAACCGTAAGCCGTAGCGCCTACAACAACAGAATTGGAGTGGATGAGGACCGTACTCGCCTTCCATACAGCACGCTCAAGTATGGCAGAAACTATGGATTTATCAGCTTTTTCGCTGAATGTTTAAGAACTAAATCGTGAATTAACTTCCAATTTTGAAGTGACATTGTGAAGCTAGCTGACCGACTACCAGTCAGTTAGAGGGAACACTAAGTGGCGAGCGTGTTATAAACAGTAACGCGTTCCTACAGTCTATTCAACAATGTTGTATTCAATTATATTGCAGAAATCGTTCAAAGAAATTAAGTGTCACTAAGACTTATTTCTCAATCTATTGCAGAATAATCAGTGTAAGATAAGCGTTAACATCAAGCTCATTCAGAGACATTCTACATCCCACTTCAAAGAGTCTCCCTACTACAACTGTGTGCTTTCATTTAATGACTTACTTCAATCAATAAATGCACGCTTAAAAAGGATGTGAACTATTAAAGACGAGGTCTTAAATTTTATCAACTGTTGTTTTCACTATACGTGGAATACATTATGTCTACATATATCAACTGCACCAAACATATATAACATATATACATATATACAACAAAAAGTAGGAAAATAATGAACACAATCCGCAAAAAGAAGTAAAGTGGATTCGAGCAGAAAATAGGATAGGTAACACGAGCGATACGTATTTCTGCTGGTTGGCTTCATTAGGCCCGAAATGAATGCACATATGCAACTGCAAAAGTAGGTACACATGCCCACACATCCGGATATAGGTGTAACCTGACGAAACGAAGATGGAGAGGGAAAAAATCGACACACGAAGTCCGCAACAAGAGCCAACCTACCCATTGTAGTATAAAATGGCTAGAAGACCTTGAATTTTTAAGGAGACATCTAACCACAACCACGCGGCCGGCTATAGCCACTTGCTGTGGTACTTCAAGCCCAAAGGAACTACAAAGAGAAAATGATCATGCGGAGAAAGGTATATAACAAAAAGTAGGAAAATAAAATAAAATATTCCAGCAGAAAATAGGATAGGTAACCCGAGCGATACGTATTTCTGCTGGTTGGATGATGCCGTTTTCAAGAACAACTAAATGAAAAGGAATTGGCGGGTTGAACGTGTTTTGTACGTGTTGTGGAAGGATTTTCGGGCAACAAAATAGATGAATACTATAAACGCCTCATACGAGTAGATGAACTGTTTTTTTATTACTAGTGTGTCGCATGTCTCTAAAAATACATTTCTTGCACTCCCATTTCCCGGAAAATTTGGGTGCGGTAAGCGACAAACAAGGAAAGAAGTTTTCACCATGACATCAGGACGATGGAAACAAGATACCGGGAATGCTGGAACTCATCTATGTTGGGCGACTGTTGTTTAAAAGGGGATGATGCTACAGGACATAAAAGGAAAAAAGTGAGCGTTTTCGTCGCTGTATCATATATTGTGCAATATATTTTTTATTCACATAACAACCAATCCTCAATAATGTTTTTGCATAGATTCCAGATGTTTTATATGTTTATATTGAATAAATATGTGAGATTGTGAAAATATGTCCTCTTTTCCTCCTTATAACAAAAAAACTGTACGTACTACAGTAATTAGCATATCATTTTCGGACTTAGGACTCTAATGTACTATGAACAAACCTATTTTCATCAATGTCACTTTACAAACTTTGTTGACCAGTGTTATTATTACCATTTAATATATTGAATACCCATGCAACTGGATATGTGGAGCACGCCAGGAAATTGTCTTTCTTGGCTGGCCACTTCCTCTGCTCCTGAAGCGACCGTCGCTAATTTGCAGTCACTGGTCACACGAGAAGCCATCTAGCAGGCTGGTCACGTGTTGCACGGGGTGTCGCGCCTCCCGACAACGGTGACGGCCATCGCACTTAGCGATCAGGGTCGTCCCGCAGGACTGCCATTCAGAGGACACTGCTACCAGAGAAAAAATAACAAGCTGCTTTAGAAGGCTAGATTTTATAAAGAACGAATGTAATGGGAAGTAAGTTCCACCTACAGTGAGGGCAAGATGGCTGTCTCCATGAAAGTATCTTACGTGGGTAGATGCTTTTCTTACCTGCAGGGTTATTGCGATAAAAAAAACTAGAACTAGTGCTGAAATTTCAGTAAGTGGGCTTCAGCTACAAAAAATATGGCCTTCTGGAATTATTAAACTCCCCTTTATATCGAAGCAGCCGCGCAGTATTTCAACCGACTACTAAATTCTTCAAGTAACGTTTTCAACAAAATGTTCGCTTCGCCCATTACGGCGACATTCATGATCTCCTCCTTCGTTTTGTAATAGTATGATCGGATATAGGCTTCTTTTGTTTTCACACTGGTATCCAGGCCTTCAAACCATTCAGGGTCTTCAGTCCTAGTGCCCTGCTTAACATTGTCCCCACTTATACCACGAAGCACTTCATCTAGTTTAAAAATTTTATTTTTAATTTTTTCTGTAAAAAAATCCTGAATCTTTTCTCCAGTTGTGAAATACTCACCATTCACCTCCCTAATAATCTTATACAGCATCTCAGCATCAGTTTCAGCTTTATTCCACTAAATGCCAGGATACTGCGGCTGCTATGAGGATCTCGAGGAAATTTTGTTATTCCGATTTTTGAACTGCCTAAACTTAGTAGAAATGGAAAAAGCTTCCTCTTGTAGATTGAGACGCGGTTAGGGTGGGAGGTCAAAGTCAGGCGGATCTGTCTGGCAAGCACATCGCGCGGTGGCATGATGGAGGAGAGCTCTGAAGAGCAAAGCCCGTTGATGTATCGATAGAAGAGAGCTAGATCGCGGACAGCCCACCGGTGCGAAAAAGTCCCGAGACTGTCTGTTAGAGAAGAGTCATCAATCAGTCGGCCAGTCCTGCTCTGGACAGCAACGAGCATAAATAATGTAGTCGGGGCGGCAGCACACCAAACGTGTGAGTAATACTGGAGACTAGGCCTTATTTGGACCTTGTATAGAGTTAAGAGGTCATGGACACTGGATAGTTTTATTTTTCGACTGTTATTGAATAACATGCAAATTTGTTGCATTTTTTAGCAATTTTTACATTAACTCTTTTGATACAATAGATCCACTTGGGCCGCAGTGTCGTTAAGGCTGGCAAACCAACCCCTCACTTCTGTAATCTGTAACTCCGTTGATATTCGCATTTTCTATGATTCATCTCTAGGAAAAACAAAAACAAATTGTCACGATCACTTGGATACCAAGAACAGTATCGTACCATATCTGCCTATTATCTTTTTTTTAGCTGCAATTAATATTCTTGTTCCTGTAAATATTTTTGTATAATGGCATATCTTTCTCTGTTGCTTTTGCCGTTAGCCTAGTGAGGTAAAATATCATAGTTTCGAGTTTCTATTATCAAAGGAACTATTTTCTAACATATCACTAATATTTACCATGGGTATACACAACACTCCCATGTTGTAAGTACTTAGAATAACACAAATACGAGTGTCGATCGAGACATGAGGTTACCAAAGGCCTCCAACGACACTAAATCGTGCGAAGCGAAACCCGGTAACACCGCTGAGTGCGACTGTTCCTCCACTCTCGATTCTTTCAGGCCGCTTTTTGCAGCGTCGTTCATTCTTGGCTCTGCAACCGTCCGACGTGGAGGTTCCCATTGTTGATCCCGCCAAGTGCGAGGTTCGTTCTATAATTCACTTTCGGCACGTCTAAAGGACTCCACCCGCGAATATATATACATAAGTGACCATAATGAAAAGCGGACTGGACGACTGTCAGTCTAGGAGGCGGTTGTCGAGATGGCGATAAGGAACAGGAGGATCACAAATTCACGGATGGTGATCGTCTTATAATGTATCCGGAGCGGTAGCACCCCAAACAGGCGAGCGATACTCGGAGCTAGGTCTTATCTAGGCCTTTTACAGAATGAGGAGGTCATGTGGAGCAAAAGATCAATTTCTCGGTGATTTGGACTCCGACGAGACAAAACGAATGGCCCTTTGGTAGAACTCGGCCATTCATCGAAACCAAGTGAGTGCTAGGACGCTTCTTGTGAGTTAAGGTACAGTTCTGTGTTATGAAACATTGAACTGTGTAAGTAGTGATAACCTCCTAGTCTCTCATCAGAGCTTCCAGCAAAGATCGACTTGTCACTCTGGATTCCTGAATCAGCAAAGCTGTGGGTCGAACTGACAATGCCGAAGCCAGGACCGATCCCTAGAGGACAGCCGTGTTGACGTGGTGGGATCACGAGGAGAACCCGTCAATTACGACGGATATCTTGCGGAAAAGAAAGGAGGTCAGCCACCCACCTGCAAAGCTTCTCTGGGAGGTGATAAGATGGAAGTTTGCATAAGATGGCAGCATAACACGGCTGATCGAAGAGGAACGACATAAGCCTCACCATAGACTGGTTAAGCTTACTCCACAATTTCGTGACGTAAGCTAGGAAGTCCCCCGTGAATCGCTAATGCCTGAAAACCATACTATACTGCCTGTCCGTAATCAAGCCGTGACGTTCGAGGTACTCCAGAAACTCATTTTTGCTCCTCTCTCTCACCTTACTTATAACAGAAAGCAGAGCTGTGTGCCTACAGTTGTAAGTGTCGATTTTAGATTCTTCTTGGGATGGTTGGACTTAAGCAAATTTACGGTTTTTACTGAGAAAGTGCCGGATTTGAAAGATATGTAGGTAATCATTTTAATCGATGCCACTCGGGCGTTGGGGGGACGTCCATGGTGGAGTTGGCAAAGACTTCCAACTTGGCCCTTGAATCGGTTACAATCGTTCCATCTTGGCACGTAGGTGGCGGAAGGCTACTATGTGAAAGGTTCCTTCCACTCTGCTTGGCCATTGAAAGACGCCATTGCACTACAGCAACTCGATGACCGCCTCCGGGACTGACAGTCGTCCACTCCGTTTTTCATCGTGAATTTCCTTTCGACCGGCACTAAACTACCTGTACCATCGAACGTGCTGAACGGACATACACTTGTCGCCATACACCTCTGTCCGCTAACAATGCATATCCATAGGTGAAGTCCCATTGTAGTGCAAAAAGCTCCATTCTGGACTGTTGCTGAGCCAAGAAAAAAAGGCGAAGCGAAGCGCTGTCGTGGGGAATCGGAGTGGCTGCGATCAGCAGTGTTATCACATTTCGCCTCGAACCTTCCATTGTGGCTCTCTGGGAACCACACTTCTAGATCAACCCTCGTAGATAGCCTTGTGCAATCCCATATTCAAACAAATACATATGAATTTCTGTGGAACTGCAAGATGTTAGCCAAAGAAACGACTTACATTCCTATTGCGTGTGAACAAGTGTGCATGTTCTGTCCATTGTAATGAATACTATAGATACGGAATCCTTCATACGAGAAGTGAGAGCCAGGTCGGTAATTTGGGATTCTACATTATCAGGGTATAGTTACAAGAATGAGAAACGGAAAGCTTGGCGAGACCTGTGCAGGATATTTCTGGAAGGTTTTCATGATAGAACAGAGGCAGAAAGATGCAAGCTGGGTAAGTGAATCCAAATGAATTGAAATAACTACATCTTTTAAATATATTCCAAACGTGATTTTTCGATGTCATGTCATCAAGATGACATTTATGTATTTATGACGCTCAGAATTTTTGCCTAACTCAAGCTTTCAAAAACTTTTTAACGCTGGAAATACACCGATAATTTTCATTTAAACGCTAGAGGTGTTCATAATTTGCATATAATGGGTGATTTTTTTTGTTAGTATCTTTTTGACTGTTTTTGACAGATGACGCGTGAATCGTGTCTTGTGTCATTGTCAAACTTGTTCAGTTTGGTCTATCATTTAACCATGAATCGACTTACGAACGAACAACGCTTGCAAATTATTGAATTTTACTATCAAAATTCATGCTCGGTTAAGAGAGTGCATCGAGCACTGCTTCCAATTTATGGGCAATTTGGTCGGCCTACTGAGGGAGCTATTCGGAAGCTTGTGACTAAATTTCGAACCCAGTTTACATTATTGGACATTAAATCACCAACACGCAGACGTAGAGTGACGACTGAAGAAAATATTGCGGCTGTATCCGCCAGTGTTAGTGATGACCGTGAAATGTTGATTCGCCGCCGTTCGCAGCAATTGGGCCTCTGTTACTCCACTACGTGGAAAATTTTGCGACAGGATTTGGGTGTAAAACCTTATAAGATACAGCTGGTGCAAGAATTGAAGCCACACGACCTCCCACAACGTTTCCAATTTGGTGAACGGGCGCTGGCAAAGTTGGAGGAAGATCCACATTTTTATCGAAAAATTGTGTTCAGCGACGAAGCTCATTTCTGGTTGAATGGGTACGTTAACAAGCAAAATTGCCGCATCTGGAGTGAAGATCAGCCAGAAGCATTGCAAGAGCGACCAATGCATCCCGCAAAAATCACTGTTTGGTGTGGATTATGGGCCGGTGGCATCATCGGGCCGTACTTCTTCAAAGACGACAATGGCCGGAACGTAACTGTGAATGGCGAGCGCTACCGTGCGATGATAACAAACTTTTTTTGGCCCAAAATGGAAGAGCTGGACTTGGCTGACATGTGGTTTCAACAAGACGGTGCCACATGCCACACCGCACACGAAACAATGGCCCTATTGAGAGGCGAGTTCGGTGAACAGTTTATCTCACGTTTGGGGCCCGTCAATTGGTCGCCTAGATCGTGTGATTTAACGCCGTTGGACTATTTCTTGTGGGGCCATGTTAAGGCTAATGTCTACAGGGATAAACCAGCAACGATTGACGCACTGGAAGCCAATATTGAAGCATTTATTTGTGAGATACCGGCCGATATGTGGGAGAGAGTGTGCCAAATTTGGGCCTTGCGCATGGGCCAACTAAAGCGGAGCCGCGGCCAACATTTACATGAAATAATCTTGAAACATTAAATTATATTCTATCGACTCAAATAACGATTTAATCGTTTTTTTTCAAATGTTTTGTGTTTTTTTTGAAAATCAAATCCTATACCTCTTAAAAAATCACCCGTTATGTCTAATCCGAAAATAGATTTACCTAATATGTCTATTAAATATCCCGAATACCCTCCGATTACTCAGCAGTCACGGATTGTTTCAACAGAAGTTTCATGATATCAAATAAGTTATAGTTTAAAGAAAACTAAGAAACTTTTTTATAGCAAATCGATAAGAAAAGAAAATAATTTTCAAGAATAGGAGAGGTTGTGCTACTACATAGAATATCCAACATTCAAGTATGATTAATTCAATTGAAATAAGATCAATATAAAAAGTAAGATTAACAAAAAAATTAATTATAATAAAAAAGCGTGGGATTAGAATCGTTTTTTTAGTTGATATTCACAGAATTGGAGTTGTTATGAAAATATTGTTAATTGCACCGCAGGCTTTTTGACTATAATTGAATTTTTTGTTCATATCTTAATTTTTATACTGATCTCCCCAATACTTGTAAATTATTTTCTACGTTTTAGTTTGATTTCCTATGAAAGCGTGTTTTTTTAAGGTACAATTTATTTTCTGAATTTGTAGTCTCGAAGCGACAACAAAGGTATTTATAACCAAGCGCTTCGACCTTTGGTATTTTTTTATATTTTACAATAGATCTAAATTCACGTCAGATTTGATATATACCGTTACATCAAACAGGTCGAGCTAACGTCTCTCATCTTATATTGGACTGGGTGAATTTAAATTTTGGAATTTTTTTCAAATCTCCCAATTTTTTTATACAATGAGTGAAGTGAACTATTATGGTGTAGTAACAAATATTTGTTAATTCTTATTCAAAATATACAGCGTGTCAAATCACTGTTGATTTATTTTCCAAATATATCGGTTATATCTGTATGTGAAAGGCCAGTAGATGACACACACTAACTTGAATATTGTGCTTGATAGGAAGGATTCGAATATTCAGTTTGACTGGTACAATCGTATTCTGTACTATATTTCTTCAAAATATTCATTAATCCTAGTTTGCAATCCATTTTATAGTTCTTTGGTACATTTTTCAGATCAGTCAAAAGATAGAGCAGAAAAAATGTATACGAATCCTGAGTTGGTATTACTTTTATAGGTTTGTTTTGTATTTCATCTTGGAGCTTCAATTGTGAAGTTACTCCAGCAAATTCTGCATCCTCTGATGTAAGATATATAGTCTGTTGACGCACACTGGATACAAAAAAGACAGCATGTCGAAGAACACGTATTTTTTTCGGACTTCTGTGTGACCCGAGTTCTATTGCCTGTTCAGTTCTCTGGTATAACAGTCTCGTTTCTCCATTTGCTTTGAAGTTCGACTTCTGAATAAACGGAGCTGATCAGATAAGTATAGTATTTCCATGCACTCTTTTATTATCCAGATGATATTTGCGATCATCGACAGATCACCATTCAACACACTTTTGCTGGCCTGACCTGTATTTAACGAAATCTGTCAACCTAATTTTCACCAATATCTAGAAGACTGATTAATATGAAAATTTACACAGGGGTCAAGGACCGATAAAAAAATGTTAAAACCTGTTTAAAAAAATACTTTTAAAATTTGGGGAATGTTTGAATTTGAATATTCGGAAAATAATTTGAAGATTTGAAAGGTTTCAAAAATAGTTGGAAAAAATTTGATGTCAAAATTTGTAAGAAACAGAAATTATGTTGAAAATTATAATTTTTGAAACCTGTAAAAAATTCGAATTTATAAAAGGAGAAAACATTTGGGAATTTTAAAAAAAACAAAAATTTAAATTCACTCAATCCACTATACGGTGATAGACGTTAACTCGACCTGTTTGTATATAATGGTATATATATATAATGATCACAGGTGAACAGGTGATCAAATCTTACACGAATTCATATTTATTGTCAAATATAAGAAATACCTAAAGTCGAAGCTCTTGGTTATAAATACCTTCGTAGCCGTGTTGAGAAATTTAGAAAATAAATTGTAGTTTAAAAAATCGCGCTTCTATAAGAAATTAAACTAAAACGTAGAAAATAATTTTCAAGTATAGGGAAGATCAGTATGAAAATTAAGACTAACAAAAAAATCAATTATAGTAAAAAAGTGTGGGGTTAAAATTATTTTTAGTTGATATTCACAAAATTAGAGTTGTTGTGAAAATATAGATAATTGCACCCCACCCTTCTTTACTATAATTAAAATGTTTTATTCATTCTTAATCTTTGTACAGATCTCCCCTATACTTGTAAATTATGCTCTACGTTTTAATTTCCTACAAAAGCGTGTTTTTTTAACTACAATTTCTTTTCTGAATTTGTAGTCTCAAAACGACAACAAAGGTATTTAAAACCAAGAGCTTCGACTTTTGGTATATTTATATTTGACATTAAATCTAAATTCACGTCAGATTTAATCACCTGTAATCGTTAGATATACAGGGTTATCCAAATTAAGTGTCCACCATTAGTAACTTGTTATTAGTGAAAATACAAAGTTGTTTGAATTAGCAAACTAGTAGCATTTTTAACGCTGGTAAAAATGAGAAATAAAAAACAAATTGAGAGTCGTTATTTTGATTTTTTTCAGTAAAATAACATTTTTTAATGGAAACCCCGGTATATTATATTTTTTTCTGTTAAGCATCAAATTTTAACAAAAAAGTCATAAGGACTTTTCGCTAAAGTCAAAAATAAAGTCAAAATAACGATAAATATTTTTAATTATTTGCAGTATTATAATATTAAGACGGCTATGAAAACAACATGGCGTTCGCGATTTTGACAGCATTAAGATAAGCGACAAATTGTTAAACTGGACATACTCGCAACTAGAAGGCTTTGGAAACAATGATAAAATCAAATAATGTCAAACATTAGTGTAAATACTTGTTTATAAGCTTTATTGTGTCATTAATTTAAAGAAAATGTTCTCCCATGAAGAAAAGTGTGATATGTTAGAATGCTATTTAGTGTGCAGAAAATCCTCCTTGAGAGCAAGAGAATACTACAGTGAATTATATCCCGCTCGCATTCAACCGTATGAACGATATTTTCTGAGACTTTATCGAAAATTTAGGGGCAACGAAAATGTTTTTGCTAAAACAAGGGCAAAAAAAGAATTCATAATAAGCGAGGCCACGGAAATTGCAGTTATTGGATATTTTGAAGCTTATCGTGAGAATTCAATAGCAGATATTCTCAAGGACTCTAATTTCAGTTATGGTACTGTTCAAAGGATTTTAAAAAAATACAAATTTATTCCGTATAAGTACCGACCAGTTCAAACGCTTTTGGCAGGGGATCTACAGAGAAGACTTGTTTTTTGCCATTGGTATCTTAGCTTCTGTCGCCAAAATGTAAATAACTTTCGTTACCTTTTATGGACAGATGAATCAAATTTTTCAAATTCTGGAATGTTTAATAGAAAAAACCACCATTATTGGTCAAGAGAAAATCTTTTGTTAGTACATCCAAGAGGCCCACAAGTCCGTTTCAGTTTCAACGTTTGGTGCGGTATAATTGGTTCAAAAATTGTTGGCCCGTTCTTTTATGAGGGAACCCTAACTGGTGAAAGATATGTGGAATTTATGTCAGAAATTCTGACTAATTTCTTAGACGAATTGGATCTTATAAGTAGACATCATCTGCATTTTCAGCAAGATGGCGCACCTGCCCACAACTCCAGAGGTACTTATCATTTTCTAAGTACTACTTTTAATGATCAGTGGATAGGAACAAATGGCCCAATACAGTGGCCTCCCAGATCACCAGATCTAAACCCACTTGATTACTTCTTGTGGGGTTACTTAAAGAACCAAATTTACAAGCGAAGGTACGATAACCTTGACGCGTTAAAGACTGCAGTTAGGGAAAAGATAACCCAGATAGATGGTTGGACCATACTTAAGACAGTTCGAGCAGTTGAAAAACGTGCCCAAAAATGTATTGAAGAACAAGGTGGTGTTTTCGAGCATCTTCTTTAAAAAAAATTGTTATTGTATTTTGTAAGATTATAAGTTGATGTTGAAAATAAAGTTTGTCGATACAATTTAATTGTTTCAGATTGGAGGCCATAACTTCAACAATTTGTAACCTAGGAGAAAAGTTATTGTAAGCTTTTTTGTTTAAAATTTGATGCTTTAACAGAAAAAAATATAATATACAGGGGTTTCCATTTAAAAAAATGTTATTTTACTGAAAAAAATCAAAATAACGACTCTCAATTGTTTTTTTTATTTCTCATTTTTACCAGCGTTAAAAATGCTACTAGTTTGCTAATTCAAACAACTTTGTATTTTCACTAATAACAAAGTTACTAATGGTGGACACTTAATTTGGATAACCCTGTATACCGTTATGATGATCGCAAATATCACCTGGATATTAGCCTCAGGTCGAGTTTATAAACTCAAATAACATACTACGTACTGATTTGACCACTTAGGACAACTTGGCCTCATGTATTAAAATGCAATTTGATGTGCTCTACATGAATCTGCAGTCAGAAATTGTGATTGCTATTTGAACTTATACTTGGAAGTTGAGTCATTTATTTTAACAGTGAGCAGATCTGATCAAAAGAAATGTTTTTTCCTATAACATTTTTCTGGTAAAATTAAAGTAACAAAGTTATAGCCCTTTAGAAGTTTGGGTACCGCCCTGTCTCAATAATAATATTATGTGCTCGTGCTTGGCAACAACGGATATAATCCGCCTTATCGGTTCATCGCATCGGAAACAAATAAGCAAATGAATTTGAAACGCTTATCACGATGATTTTGCTACAATTTTATTCAGTTGTATTCAGTCAATGTGTCAGTCGGTAACGCGTGAGTGAATAGTGGTGCTTGTTGCGTGGCTCAAACGAAATAAAAAGTGGCACATGTTTACGAAAATGCTGAACTTGTGGACATGATTCTTATTTACCCGGCATCACGGATTTATGCGGATCGGTTTCCCAATCGAGTGCAACCAACCCCTCGTGCCTTTGTTAATGTAGTACAAAGGGCTCGTGAATCAGGTGACTTAAGACCTCACAGAGGAGAGCATGCCGGTGCTCCAAGACCGCACGATCAAATAGAACTAGAAGAACAAATTTTAGAATTAGTAAATGATGATCCAACACTAAGCACCCGACAAATTTCAACTCAATTGGCGATTAGTCAATATAAAACTTGGAAAACTCTACGTGAAAATCAGTTCTATCCGTTTCGCATACAAAAAGTGCAGGCCTTACAATCGGGAGATCATGAACAAAGGGTTGACTTATGCAATTGGCTTTTAAATAAACATCAAAATGATGACAATTTTTTAAATCAAATTTTAGTGAGTGATGAAGCCCTCTTTACTAGAAACGGAATTATTAATTCACGTAATTCTCACGTTTGGGCTATTGAAAATCCCCATGAAATAAGGGAAACCAATTTTCAACAGCGATTTGAACCAATCAACCTGTGGGCTGGAATTGTTAATGGAATTTTAGTGGGGCCTTTTGAATTACCAAATCGCTTAACTGGTGAAAATTATCTTGATTTCTTGCAACACAATTTGCCTGGTATACTAGAAGATGTGCCTTTAAATATTAGACAAAACAGGTGGTTTTTACAAGATGGGGCAAGAAATGTGCGTGAATTTTTAAATAGACAATTTAATAATCGTTGGATCGGCCGTGGCGGTTTTGTACCTTGGCCGCCAAGGTCTCCGGACTTAAATCCTTTAGATTTTTGTTTGTGGGGTTGGCTAAAATCTCTAGTGTATGAAACACCGGTTAATACACGCGAAGAATTACGTGCTCGAATTGAGGAAATGCGTACAGTGATCAGAAATAAACCAGTTATTTTATTGCGTGATTGTGAAGAGACATGGCTAAGACGCGCCCAGCTCTGCGTCGAGCAAAACGGAAATCATTTCGAACAGTTTTTGTGACATGCTTTTGGGCGCACAGGTCCGCACTGAAATACTTGTCGGGAGGATACTTTAGAAAACAAGGTAACTTTTTTTTAATTTTTTTTTTATTTTTACACACACATATTTTGGTTTATCTTCCTTCTACAATTATTATCTGAAAATTAATGACTCAAGTTCAAAGTATATGTACTTGACTTCCAAGTGAAGTCACCATCTAGATAATATCACGATCATGCAAAAATTACTGTTTTGGATATTCTAAGGGATTTGTTGATGTCTTTTTTTAAATTAAATGTGATTGCTAAATGTCCGTTCTGCTTGGGTACTCCTCAGACGTTAAGGTATACCATACTGACTGGACTATTTAATGACCTTAAGATCTCGTATGTGAAAATGCGGTTTGAGGTACCATGACAGGCTCTACGCGACTATGCTGTCAAAAATGGTGGCTTGAATGTACGAACTTGACATCCAATGTTCTCTTAGGCCCGTATCGTCAGTCGTCCCTACAACTGTAGGGCTCGTTTATGGCCTTCCTGATTTCGATAATATTACGTGTTCTTCGTTAACGTACATGTATGGCCTCCTTTGGATCAGACATACGGACAGTTCTGGCTTTAGGTTGTTTTGAAGTTCAAGACACATGACAGCAGAACCATAATTTATAATTTTCTTGCAAATAATTAATAATATCGATCACTCAAAAATACCTCGCTACATTGAACAAATTCCACCACCTGTGGTATCTTCAAGAAATTGTTGAGTTAGGAAAATCAATGCACATGGAGATATTATATTATAATATTATATTTGTGTGTGAAAGTCCAACATGCAACATTAACAATTCGAGAACCAATTGCCTAATCATAACAAAGTTTATTTTGAGCTCCATAACTTTAAAACTCTTATGATACATACAGGCTTATGCATTCTTTAAACTAACAAATTCTACTGTAACAATATCGAACACAAAAGGCAAACTCATGTGTTTCAAAATGATATGGTTACTACAGGATTGGCTTTTTCAGCGATGCTAGGATGCTTTCATGTGCCTGAATGTGTATATTCCTTCTTATGAAGATCATTTAGCTCTCTATCGTTCTTAGTTTACGTCTGTTGGCAAAATCAGGATTATCTTTTTTGCAATATATTAATCCCTCACATTATTTTTACCAATGTTTACACCTTGATCACAATATAGGTTGGCCTTGGTTAAGCTGTCAATTCTAAATATTTGACTGTTCTGTGTTTGAATGGATTCTACGCTTTGTTTTTGCCCTGAGGCTCACTGCATCATTTTTCTTATTTCCAATCACATTGTTGTATTGTTTATCATGGTCAGCAACTGAAGCTTTTGTTTTTGACGAATATTTTTCTTTTGTAGTCTGCATTGTCAACAGGAACTAAAAACCACAATTTATTCACGTAATATATACACAGAACATTCAAATAATTGAAATTGACAGTTTGAAGTTTTGATACGATACATTTTCATTACAGCTTCTCATTTAAAAAAAACATTTTCTGCTTATATCAGTATATATATATATGTGCCCATAAGGCTAATATTGTAAAATAAGGCGAGCACCTCAATTATCAGTCCTATTCAGTGTTTGACATTCCTTAAGCAGGGAATTGATTCCCACAGTTTTCTTGTAATTAGTTGTGGAATTTTCTGCCATAATGGCACAATGTAATGAAGAATTTAACTTTATGCTGCAACTCCATTTTCCCATTTACACCTTGTAATGTCTCATAATTGGTGCTTCTACATATCGATCACTTAAATCAAATTCACGTTTTGTTTCTGTAAGATTCCTTCAATTATGCCTGGATGCATAAATTTCTTCTTAGAAAGATCATTCACCTCCTTATCCTTCCAAAGTAAACATAGCATTTTACTGAGAAACCAACTTCTCATAAAGTCTGTGATAATGAATCACACCTGAAAATAATGCGATAAGTATACAATATGGATATGCAATGATTTGTTTTGTAATCAAGAGAATAGCTTGGTTGTAAGCTTCTGGACTTTCATACACGCAAATATAATATTATAATATATCCATATGCATTAATTTTCCTAACTGTAGCGAGGTATTTTTGAGTGATCGATAATTATTTGCAAGAAAATTATAAATTATGGTTCTGCTGTCATGTGACTTGAACATCAAAACAACCTCAAGCCAGAACTGTCAGATGTCGGAAATCAAAAGGAGGACATACATGTGCGTTAACGAAGAAGACGTAATATTATCGAAATCAAGAAGGCCATAAACGAGCCCTACAATTGTAGGGACGACTGACGATACGGGCCTTAGCTCTAATGTGTGGTTGTCGAGTTGGAAAGAGTGCATGGCAAATACTAAGCAAATCTGATCAGCTTCGTTTTTTCAGAAATCGAACTCCAAAAGAAATGGAAAAACTTACGAGACTGTTATACCAGAGAACTGAACAAGCAAAATAATGTGGGTCATACACAGCTCCGGAAAAAATACGTCTTCTTCGACATGCTGTCTTTTTTGTATCCAGTATGCATCAACAGGCTATATCTTACATCAGAGGATGCAGAACGCGCTAGAGTAACTTCACCATTGAAGCTCCAAGAGGAAACACAAAACAAACCTAAAAAAGTAAAGCCAGCTCAGGATTCGGATAAATTTTTTCTGCTCTCTCTCTTGACTGATCTGAAAAACGTACCAGAGCACTATAAAATGGATTGCAAACTAGAATTGATGAATATTTTGAAGAAATATAATGCAGAATACGATTGTACAAGTCAAACTGAATATCCGGATTCTACCTATCAAGCACAATATTCGAGTCAGTGTGTATCATCTACTGGCCTTTCACAGACGGATATTATAAACGATATATTTGGAAAATAAATCAACAGTGCTTTGACACACTGTATATTTTGAATCAGATATAACAAAAATTTGTTACTATACCATAATAAATCACCTCACTTATTATATTGAAATCCACTATTATAGCATTATTACAAGCTTTCTCACTTAGTACTCAAAGCAGATATACTAAGTGACATATAAATCCGAACACCCAGTTTAAATGGTTTTATTTTAATAAAATTTTGTATAAGTATTTAATGAAGCATAATAAGTAAATGATAAACATTTCAAAATGATTGCACTGCTTTAAAGCCCTTTGACCTTTAATAATGTGTGGATGCACCCTGATGTGCTACGCATTCTCCAACGCGCCTAGGCATGCTTCTGATCAGGTGGTCAATGTCCTCCTGTGGAATCTCATTCCAGGCAACCACCAACTCCTCTCGAAGTGCTTCTAGAGTCTGAGGAGGACGTTGCAAATTAGCAATCTCGTACCCATCATATCCCACACGTGCTCAATTGGGGATAAGTCGGGAGATCTTGGTGGCCATGGTAACAATGTGACATCATTATGTTGAAAGGAGTCTATTGTGACTCTTGCAACATGTGGTCGGGCATTATCTTGTTGGAAAGTTGGATCTGCCAGGGTGTCAAGATAGGGTAAAAGATGGGGTTCTAGAACTTCGTTCATGTTACCTCTGATGAGGATTAAAGGTGACCTGGAACCATAATCTATAGCACCCCAAACCATAACTCCAACAGTGTGATGAACATGTCTTTCAACAAAAAACTGTGGATTCCTCCTTTCACCACGTCACCTTCTAACCCTGGCACGACCATCGTGCATGCCTAAACAAAATCGAGACTCGTCACTAAAGACAATACTGTTCCATTCCTGATCCCAGAGTGACCGTTGTCTGCACCACTCAAGGCGATTACGTCGGTGTTCTCGAGTTAAAGGGAGGACCCAGTGTGGCCGGTATGAAAACAAGCCAAAACTTCTCATTCGTCGGTAAACACTTCGCATGCCAATAGGTCTTCTGTGTTCTGCAAACCATTCATTTGCAATAGACCTGGTAGTGGAGAAACGGTCCCTTAAGGCCAATAATCTTAGGCGGCGATCTTCACGGTCTGTTATTCTACGGCGGCGTCCAGTGCCCCTTGCTCTTTGCGTACGGCACTCTCGAAGCCATGCCTGACAACACCTAACCACAGTGTCTACACTTATTTGCACTCTAACTGCAATATTGCCCGAAAAGGAAGTCCAGCTTCCCGAAGTCCCACTATACGGCCCCTATCAAACTCACTAAGTTGACGAAAAGCATAATATGATTAAATTTATTATTGGCGCCGTTTACCGTTTTTATCACTAATGACTATTGTAATGTTACCTAACGTTCTTTGAGAAATCAAAGGCAGCATGGACAGGGACTAGCACAGCATTGAGATTCAGATGCCTAGCTCCATCAGCCATTATCACTTAATCACCTTCATGAAAGTGCCTTGATCCAGACATCAGCCAATTTTGGGAACTGACTGTCTTTCTCGAACCCCAGAAGCGATACGAACATAGATCTTTTTGTCGGTCCAGTAGGAATTCTAAAAGAATAACGGAAGTGCTTTAAATCAGAAGTTGACTTCAAAGTATCCATTTTGGGTAAAATTAGAAAGCCATCGAACGGCAGCCCCAGTTCCTACCTTCCTAATTTTTTTAAAATTCATGATGAAAAGATAATAATAATAATAATAATAATAATAATAATAATAATAATAAGGGTTGCAGGTTGCAAGGTGCTGGCGCCCAGCGAGTACACGCACAGGCACAACAACGTCGCTAGCTATGTCTACTGGACCACATGTAAAGATTTAGGGTTGCCCGTGGCTAGCAAGTACTACGAGCACGTTCCAGATAGGTTGCAAAACTTTTGGATCAAAAAATTCTCAGCCCTTCACAGCGCAATGACAGCTGCCATCAATCACATTATTGAACATCCAGAAGATGCACCCTCATGGCTCACATCCGGAACTACAGTGCTCTTATCCAAAGGAAAGAATACGAAAGACCCCAAAAATTATCGCCCTATAACGTGCCTGAGTACAATGTACAAGATAATTACAGCAGCATTAGCTAACAGGATTAACGAACATCTACTTAACCACAACATTTACCCTGACGAGCAAAAAGGAAGCAGGAAAGGAACAAGAGGCTGTAAAGATCATCTTTTAGTCAGCAAAATGGTAGTCAGTGTGGCAAAAACACGAAGGAAAAACTTATGCATGGCCTGGATCGACTACCGTAAAGCGTTTGATAGTCTACCGCATGAATGGATTATGAAAGTACTGCAACTATATCGAGTTTGTCCAACTATACAAAGGTACATAGAATGCTCAATGAAAACATGGAAAACCGAAATGCATCTATATCACAATAAGGGATCCATAAAAACCGGACATATAGGCGTTCAGCGAGGCATATTTCAAGGCGATTCTCTCTCCCCCCTACTGTTTTGCATGTCACTAATTCCACTGACCAGTATGCTTAACAGAGAAAAAACTGATTTTGTTATAGACGCAAACAATGCAGTTAATCATCTGTTATACATGGATGATCTGAAATTATTTGCCAAAAATGAGAACGATTTGCGTCGCGCTTTAATGACAGTGAAAACATTCTCGGATGATATAAATATGCAATTTGGACTGGATAAGTGTGCAACAGCAATATTCAAAAGGGGTAAACTCACTAAGGCACAGAATATAATTCTAGATAAAGCAACAACAATAATCAACATGGAGCCTGAAGAAACCTATAAATATCTAGGCATTGAAGAAGCAGATGGAATCGAAGATGAACATGCCAAATCCAGAATATCGAGGGAGTATTATCGTCGTGTGCGCCTGATTCTTAAGACAGAATTATGCTCCAAAAATAAAATATCTGCAATCAACTCTTTCGCTGTGCCTGTACTAAGTTACAGCTTTGGAATTGTCAATTGGCTGAAGTCAGATATACTGAGAATTGACCGGAAAACCAGGAAGCTGCTGACAATGGCACATATACACCATCCCAAGGCTGACGTGGACAGGTTATATGTAAAGAGGCGCAATGGAGGACGCGGAATGGTAGAAATTGAAGCTCTATATGAAACATCTATGGTTGGTCTCGGAGAATATATAACCCAAGGGAAGGACAAACTATCAAAAATAGTGAAAGAATGGGACAATGGCTTTTGCAAATACTCCATCCAGAAAGAGATGAAGAAGATTATGTCGGAACGTCTAGGAGGCGAAGACTCCAACAGAAACTCAATCGACAAGATCAAGAACGTCGCTGAAAGTGGCAGACTAGCAAAAGTAGCCTCGAAACCATTGCCCGGACAGTTCTTCCGACAACTCGAGAGAACAGAGATAGATAAACGTGGAAGTGTCAGTTGGTTGAGAAGCTCTACGCTGAAAGCGGAAACAGAAGCTCTGATAGTATCTGCACAAGATCAAGCATTAAATACAAGGTACCACCAAAAGTATATACTAAAACAAAGTATAGACAGTAAATGCAGAATATGCGGGCAGTCCGACGAACACATCAGCCATATAGTAGCAGGTTGCCAAGTACTAGCCCCTTCAGAGTATACCGCTAGACATAACAATGTAGCTAGTTACGTTCACTGGAAAATATGTGACTCGTTTGGTATTCCAGTTACAGATAAATATTATCAACATGAAATCCAGAGTGTCACCAACATCAAGAATGACACCACTGATGTATGTATTATGTGGGATGTGCCGGTAATAACGGATCGAACAATAAAAGCAAACCGACCTGACATTATAATTCATAACAGAAAGGAGAAAACATGTCAACTAATTGATATAGCGGTTCCCGACGATTCCAATGTAAAATCGAAAGAAAATTAAAAGATATCTAAGTACAGAGATCTCCAGATAGAAATACAGAGAATGTGGCATGTGAAAGCTTGGATAACTCCTGTCGTTGTCGGTGCATTAGGAACTATCACCAAAACCTTCCACGGAAATTGTGACTCAATACCCGGTAAACCAGCACTCTACCAAATTCAAAAAACGGCACTACTAGGAACAGCGCATATACTAAGGAAGGTGCTTGGATAGTCTCTTTGATATCTGGTTGATATCTGGTCTATCCTTTATTACCAGACAGATACGTCTGTGGAAGAAAAAGATAAGGGTTGCAGGTTGCAAGGTGCTGGCGCCCAGCGAGTACACGCACAGGCACAACAACGTCGCTAGCTATGTCTACTGGACCACATGTAAAGATTTAGGGTTGCCCGTGGCTAGCAAGTACTACGAGCACGTTCCAGAAAAAGTACTAAGTCCTAACGACAACACCACTGTTATGTGGGAAGTGCCTATTATCACCGATCGAACAATCCGAGCAAATCGGCCTGACATTGCGATTCACAACAAACAACAAAAGACCTGCCTTCTGCTAGATATCGCAGTACCTGATGACTCAAACGTGCTGCTGAAAGAATCTGAGAAGATCTCAAAATATAAAGACCTAGAGATAGAGATCAGTAGAATGTGGCATGTTAGAGCTAAAACTATACCCATAGTAGTGGGCGCCCTGGGAACAATTAAAATATACTAAGTGACATATAAATCCGAACACCCAGTTTAAATGGATTTATTTTAATAAAAGTTGGTGAATATATTTATCTTACTGTAAATAACAAGTGAAAAAATTTTCAGCCTTATCAGTTGGACACTCCGGTTTTTGTAGTGCTTTTTTTTAATTCACTAACGCTCTAAAAATGAATATTTCAGCCGGAGTAAAGAATCAACGTTGTCGGATTTTGGTTCTTGACATCCTTTACGATCGGTTACGATGCCTAGTGTACGGAGACCTGTACGATTTCGTCAACTCAGTGAGTTTGATAGGGGCCGTATAGTGGGACTTCGGGAAGCTGGACTTTCTTTTCGGGCAATTGCAGTTAGAGTGCAAAGAAGTGTAGACACTGTGGTTAGGTGTTGGCAGGCATGGCTTCGAGAAGGCCGTACGCAAAGAGCAAGGGGCACTGGACGCCGCCGTATAACAGCAGACCGTGAAGATCGCCGCCTAAGATTATTGGCCTTAAGGGACCGTTTCTACACTACCAG